CACACACACACACACACACACACACACACACACACACACACACACACACACACACACTCCACATTTACATGAGGAGTAAAAACTGCTGAGTCATGATGTGACCCCCTTCTGCCTTTTCCTAGAGACTCCAAATCATCAGGGACTTTTTCTAAACTGAACTATTTTTCTACAAAAGTACTTTATCATAAAAAACAAACCACACTGAGCTTTTTATTGTGATTTCTCTCAAATGTGATTTTAACCTAATGTGTAGACAGGGTTATTAAAAAAAAAACACAGTGACGATGCTGAATCTCTTCAATCTTGAAGCTGAAGTGTCAAACTGAAGCTCAACATATCAACATATTTTCAGAYTGTTGTTTAAGTTTCGTGTGAATTTTTAAAGTTTGCCTCGAAAAGAACTTGAATGTCTGGATGTTCTGCTTTTTGTCTTCACAAAGCTTCAAATCCTGCAGGAACAGAAGTGCCTTCTGCTGTTTGTGGCTTAAAAAAATAAATCCTCATCGGTCATGTTCTGCCACCAACCTGATTATCAGGGTCTTTTATAAGAAAGTGTTTTTTATTCAGTCATTTCAGAAACAGATCAGTAATGTCTTAAAAATTTACATTAATCATTGACTTTTTTCCTAACAAACCTCCACTAAAAGCTCTGAACACTTCCTGTTTCTTTCTAAGCASAGATTGGATGTTTCCAACATGATTTTTACTAAAACAGTTTTTATGTTTTTATTCTCAAAACCCATCTGCGTATTTGTTTTATGAGCAGTAAATGATTATCGTTCAAGTACACATTGTTCTTTTGTACTTTGACACCTGTTTTTATTTCACCTGTATCTAAAACCAGTAAGTGCTGACAGTGGTTTAGTGTGGAAGAGTRAACACTGTGCAGACACTGCCACCTAGTGTCAGTCTGTGCAAAGTGCAGGAAAGGTGTCAGAGAGCTGCGAGTAAGAGTGATTCTTTGTCGTAACAATTTTTGATAACTTGCATTTACACTGAAGTCTGAAATTTCACTCTTAAGAAGTTTGATTGTTTTAACATTTTTACATCGTAAGAAACTTACTGAGACTATTACAGATGGAACCCAAAAAAACTTAATTTGCACAGGTTTGAAATATTTCTTGACGTTTGGCTTAATTGGACACATTTGGTGAAGTTAAATCTTCATATGAGAGAGCTGGGAGTTAGCCTGGTGGTGAAGTCACATAACTTTGGTGCAGGAGGTTCAGTGTTCAAATCCCAGCTCCAACTTTGGTAACACAATGTGAAAAACTTAGTTTGCACAGTTTTGAAAGATTTCTTCACTTTCACCCTGGTAACTGATAAACATAGGGAAGTTAAAACGTTACATGAGTACCAGCAGGTAGCCCAGTGGGTTAGTCCCATGGCTGTTGGTACGCTGATAATCTGGGATGCTTGAGTTCAAATCCCAGCTTGGGAGAGAGAAACGTGTTCATCACGCATGAAGGTTGAGGTAAGTACTTCTTCTGAGCTTGTCTTATTAAAGTCTAAAGACGTGTGAGACTAAAAGTAGATCCAAGATACCAGCTTATTAAAATAAAAAACCTTCAAGCTGGCTGTGGGATTTGAACTCATGAACCTTTGATCCAAAAGCCAAAGAACTAACCCACTGGACTATCCACCAGTTCCTTCARAACYTGATTTACTTCCCTTTGTCCTGGTTTAACCTGGTTGAAAGAGACAAAAGCTGGTGGCACCGCTCTGCTGGGCTTCCTGATCTGGGTCTACTTTTGCATCTACTTTTAGTCTCACTCTCACACACACCCCCAAACCCAACCCCCCCACCCGTCCCGACTCACTCCACCACACACCTAATTTTTCACTAACTTCAGGTTATTGAATTTGGTTCTACATTTTGTAGCCTATATTATTAAGTGTCTTTGACAGGAACATACTACTCATCAGCAGAAGGTACGTTGTAAGTTTCCTATATAGTTACATAT